CCCTAAACCTTTCAAACTTATGAGCCTTATGAAGCTATGGAAGATCCGGTGATGCCGCCTGTGTATCATGGAGGTGACTGATAGGCTTAGTATTCCCGTCCTTCGTGTACAGTTTTTGGCAGAGAAGTTAGGCTAACCCAACCATCCGACCCTTTTTGAATGTGCGTGGTTTGTACTGATGGCCTATAATAAGGCTTGTATGATGTGTAATTGTAAATAATGCTTTGTCTATAAAAGTGTTTTGTTGATGTGATTTCATTGTCTCTTTATTACTCCGTTTAATTGTTTGTTGTATAGAGAGTTCGAATTGCTTCCGTGTGTGTTGCTCTTTAGTCCGTTTGTTTAGGTTGGCGACAAGTCCTGGGATGTCGCATTCTTACCGACCATGACGGGATGTTGCGTGCTCGTGGGGATTGGGACGTGACATCCCCGTTTAATTGGTATCAGAGCAAGCTTAGCTCGATCCGAGTTTGGTCGAGACTTGAAGTGATAAGGAGCGATGACTTTGAGGTAGTGATTAAGGAGATCTCTTGTGATCACAAGCTAGAATGTTTCATGTATGCTTAACGTTCGTATGCTTGTGAGTGCTGGATGATTTGTTTGTTGTGAGTATGCTAAATTGCAAGTGCTGCAAGGAGTAAAGTAAGATTGGAACTCCGTTAATTGTGTGTTCCTTATGCTTGCTCTGTGGATGCTTGCCCTATAATTGCTATTGTGATTTGCTGCTTAAGAATGTTAGACTTGAGTAGTTGGCTTAGATCTTTAATTCCTTGACAGAATTATAGCAGGTTTAGGTGTGTTGTGAGAACCCTGTAAGGATGAGTAGGCAAGGAATGGGGACAAGAGGTCAATCTGGTTCTCAGGCCGGAGTGATGGAAGGCCCGCAAGTAGATGGGGTCATAAGAGTTTAGAGGAAATCGGAAATCTGATGGGAAGGCAAGCTCAAGAGCAAGCTGCCACTGTTGCTCAGGCTGCTGAGGCCGCGGTTGTCGCCGCTAATGGGGCTAATGGGAACAATGGTTATAATGGAAATGGAAATCGCTAGATGCACCAACTGGTGGAGCAATTCTTAAAGCTAAAGCCAACTAAGTTTGAAGGGAAAGGAGATCCTGAGGCTGTCACCCGTTAGGTTGAGGAATTGGAAAAAGCTTTTGAACTTCTGGGGTGCACGAAAGAGGAAAAAGTGACTTTAGCAGTGTATCAAATTCAAGGAAACGCAAGTGATTGGTAGAAAGCAACCCGAGGTAGGATCCTTCCAGAAGGCACGGCTCCAAACTAGGATGCCTTTGTTGAAACCTTTAATGCGAAATACTTTTGTGAGAGTGCCTAAGAATAGAAAATGGCAGAGTTTCTACAGCTTCGCCAGAATCAGATGACTGTGGATCAGTACGAGGTGAAGTTTACAAGATTATCTAAGTTCGCGCCGAGGATGGTCGAGAATCGTTTGGATAAGGCAGGGAGATTCTAGGATGGTCTAAAATCGGAACTTCGCAGTTAGTTGATACCTATGAATTTGAGGGACTATAATGAACTTTACGAGCAGGCTTAGATGGTTGAGCAGGATATGACAGAAAGGGTTGCCGCTTCTGGATCATGGTATGCTCTGTTTAGGGATAATCGGAACTTTGTTAAGAAGCCTATGACCGGGAATAGGAGATTTGTTCCTCCGATAAGAAAAAAACATTGGAAAGCCGAACCATTACTCCAACGCCGCATGTCGGTCTTGTGGAAGGAGGCACGGGAGTGGCTCTTGCCCAGGTGGGCCTAGAGCATGTTTTGGATGTGGCCAACATGGTCACCAAGTGAGAAACTACCCGAACCGCCAAGTAAGGCCGCTAGTACAACCGCAGCCACCCCAAGTAGGAAATCAGGCTGGAGTCGCCCCGCAGAATAATTAGAAACGACCCCCAGCTCAAGGAAGGATTTACGCTATGGCTCGCAAAGAGGCAGAGGATGTGCCTGTCATGATCACAGGTACGGTCTCTTTATGTGATCATGCTGCTTATGCCTTATTTAATCTCGGAACGTTGCATTCGTTTGTGTCTGAGTAGTTTGTTAAATTGACTGGTATTAAGTCGAAACCGTTAGAAGTAATATTGTGTGTTACCACCCCTCTTATGGATAAAGTGATGATTTCATTAGGATGCCTAGACTGTAAGATTGTTATTGCTGGTAAGGAGAACTTGATTGATCCGACTGTCTTGGCTATGTTTGATTTCGATGTTATTATTGGTTTGGATTGATTGGTTAGACAGAGGGCTGTGATGGATTGTGGCAGCAGGGTGATTCAATTTAATCCGATTGATCACTCTAGATATGAATTTGTGAGAAACTGAGGAGGAATCTCAATCCCTTGGGTTTTGTCGCTTGAGGTGACTAAGCTGTTAGATGAAGGATGCCAAGGTTACTTAGCGACTATGGTTGATTCTTCAATCGAGGAGCCAAGGCTAGAGGACATAGCCGAGGTGTGCAATTTTCCCTATGCCTTTCCTTAGGAATTGCCGAGATTGCCACCTGAAAGGGAAGTGGAATTTGTAATTGAATTGGCACCTAGGACAAAACTGATCTATAGAGCGCCTACATAATGGCATTATCAGAGTTGAAAGAATTAAAGGTTCAGATGTAAGAACTACTAGATAAGGGGTTTATTCATCCGAGTGCATCACCATGGGGAGCATCAGTATTGTTTGTGAGGAAAAAGGATGAGTCGTTGCGCTTATGCATTGACTATCGGCAGTTGAACCAAGTGACCGTCAAGAACAAGTATCCATTACCAAGAATAAATGACTTGTTCAATCAACTGCAAGGGGCATCGGTATTCTCCAAGATAAACTTGAGAACGGGCTACCATCAACTATGGATCAAGAAGGAGGATATACCGAAGACGGCATATCGTACAAAATATGGACATTATGAGTTTACCGTAATGCCGTTTGGATTGACTAACACCCCAGCCGCCTTTATGGACTTAATGAATTGGGTGTTTAAGGAATTCTTGGATCAGTTTGTTATCGTATTCATCGACGACATCTTGGTGTATTCGAAGAGCCCTGAGGAACATGAGCAACATCTAAGAATGGTTCTACGGACTTCAAGAGAACACACACTCTATGCCAAATTTAGTAAGTACGAGTTCTGGCTGGATCAAGTGGCATTTCTTGGACATATGATCTCCGGAGATGAAATTTCAGTAGACTCGACTAATGTCGAAACAGTCACAAATTGGCTGAGACCTACAGCAGTTACAGAGGTTCGAAACTTTATAGGACTTGCGGGCTATTATAGAAGATTTGTGGAAAGGTTTTCGCAATAGCCATTCCTTTAACACGTTTACTAAAGAAGGAAACAAGGTTCGAATGGACGGACAACTGCGAAAGGAGTTTTCAAGAGCTGAAGCATAAGTTGACTGCCGCACCTATGTTGACAATACTATCAGGTCTTGGAGGATATGAGACAAAAAAAAAAAAGAGAGAAAGAAAAGAAAATTAAAATTAATTAAAATTTTTGGATTTTTTGGTAATTTTCCCTAGAAAATCAAATCGGATACCAAATGGTGGAAAGCATTTTCCAATTCATTTTTATGTCTCGGCCAAATACCGGAAAACATTGTCATTTTCCTAAAAAATAACTTTCTGTAAAATATTTTCTAGAAATTTCGCATTTTTCGGGAAACGAACGGAGCCCATGTATGTAAAATTTTCCATAACCAACCAGTTGATCCAACTAATTGATTTCATATAAAAATAAGGGCAAAAGGACACTATAAGTGCCATAACTTGTGTACGGAGATCACTTTGGTGCCAAGTCGGAGGAAAAACGATCACTTAAGTGTCATAAGTTTTTTTTGGATCACTTCATGCTAAAATTTTTGAAAACGATCACTTAAGTGCTAACATTTTTTAAAAACGATCATTTAAGTGCTAAAATTTTTGAAAACGATCACTTAAGTGCCAATCTCCGGCAAGCCACGTCGGCTCCGTAAATTAATAAAAAATGCCACGTCGATTTCCGCGAAAAAATTGTGTACGGCACTGGAGTTAGCACTTAAGTGATCGTTTTTCAAAAATTTTAGCACTTAAGTGATCGTTTTTCAAAAATTTTAGCACTAAAGTGATCCAAAAAAAACTTATGGCACCAAAGTGAGCGCCGTACACAAGTTATGGCACTTGTAGTGTTCTTTTGCCTAAAAATAAGTATTCATATGGAATAAATTGAACAAAAATTAACAAGGATAACGAAATAATCGTTAAGTAATAAATGTAACGATCAATTTCCACAAAGTCCATGGAAAGATATAGAAAATACATTTGTATATATGTATGGCTTTTACGGATTCGTCAGCCGTAGAAATTCTTATCCATGAGTCACCGTTTTATCAATAGATACGGGGATATTCAACTATGTGACAACTTTATTACAAACATACCGAGCATGCAATGCCTAGAAATTCTTTTAAAACTAATTAAACTTTGAGTAAGTGATCCTTGTACTTTATTCTTTCTGTATCAGTGAAATAATCCTTTTCAGTCTCAACTTTCATCACGATTTCATAGATTTAATGTGGCACCAAGATGCCGAACATTGATCTTTCACAAAAGTAGAAGGGATCACTCAGTTCACACGGGGAGTCGGCAGAAAAGCTGTTCTCTTCTTCTCTCAGAACAATTTCACTTAGATTCATGGTAGGACTTCTTTCGTACCGCACAACATGAGATTAGACTTAAGAATGTCTAGATGGTACAAGCGAAAGTTATGAAAACTCGTGTCTGTCAACGAAGACATCCAGCTTTAGTATCAATTATTACTGATTAGGACGGCTTGGTGTTTATGGTTGTAGCTTCTACGTCGGTGCTGTATCGAGATTATAGGGCTAAGCTATGAATCTTTGTCGCCGGTGCATCCCTCTCCGGCTCTCCCTCCCTCCCGTTTAAAAAGGCCCGAACCGGCTCCAAGACACCACCGCATTGTCGCCGAGAGTACACGTTCCCGCCTCCGGACGTTGCAAGACTGCACCAAAGCAAAGAACCGGCAACAATGACGCGGTCGCCTTCTACTGCCGTCAGTGTGGTCCAGGTCGAGTCTGTCAAGTTACCTCCTTACGTGAAGCCGCCGGGCTCCGCCAAAGCCCTCTCCCTTGCAGGCGCAGGTCCTCTCTCGTCGCTAGATCTTCAACCCTCCATGAGTTTCCGGTTTTCGTTGGCGCTGTCATTGTTATTTTGTTTATTCATTTTCAGAAGGAAAGTTCATCGTTCTTTTTCTTTTTTGTGGTTGGGGCATAGGATTGAGAGATGTGGAGATCGAGGGGAAGTTGATCAAGGTCACTGCGATCGGCATCTACCTGGAGGATGCAGTGCTGCCGCTGCTCGCCGGCAAGTGGAGCGGCAAGAGCACGGAGATGCTGGCGGAGTCCGTCGAGTTTTTTAGAGACATCATCACGGGTCTGTGTCCTGCTGAGAAATGCTTTCACGCATCGGTGTGATCCTCTAATTTTGTTGAATTTCAAACTTTGGAATGACAGTCTGAGTTGTTTTTAAAATGGAGTTTCTTGAAAAATGTCTTCTTATCCACACTTGATAAATAACTAAATTTTTTTTTTACAACTTTCAATGCATTAGCTGTTTTTATGACATGTAGAATCAATATATTTCAAAAAAATTATATTTTATTAGTTGTTTTAAGACACTCGTTTATATTAATAAGACATTATCAAAAGTACAAGTTTCTGGAAATATTTAAGCGGTCCAATGATGCGACTGTGTGTTTGGCATAGAGGGTATTACGTATACATGATACGTTTTGTTACCCAAAATAATTACTCGCATGACCCGATACGAAGCAATTTTTTGTTGGCTGATGCAACTCACAAATTTTGATTTGTTTATTAATCCAAAACTCCCGAATGTAACTTTTCGCTTTCGTTTTAAGCGTATGCATTTTTTTCCTTCTACTGTTTTCCTCTATGATAAAAAATTTTCTTCTGTTGTTGTTTTCGCTTATGTGCTGATTTCAGAGGAAGATACGTATTACTGCTACTTGCCTAATTTTCGTGAGAAGTGTGACTGAGATAATTGGCTAGACCTGTTTGAATCAAAAGATGTGTGGTCACATTCGCGATCCATTGCGTTTTCCCCACACCAGCCATCGACACTTTGTGTCCACGCAGGTTCCCGTGGCCGTCGGTTCAATGCGGTTCTTGGTCTAGACTGAACTAGACCACGAACCGGTTCTTGGTCCCATTGGTGGGGGTGGTCCTTGGAGCCCTGGTTTCAAAGTGCTGGTTCGAACTAGTGATCTCTCACGTTTTAGGATGACATCAACTTTTTCTAGAGGAGCAATCTTGCTGCTGTTGAGCGAACTCTTTACGCATAGGTTTGCTGCTTTTGGTTTTGTTGGCATGCACTGATGCACAGTTAGCTGTCCAACATTCCGTGCAAGCAAGTGTTGTCGGCCTCATAAATGTCACGAAGAACTTGCCAATGATTTGAGGCATCGGATGAGCTTGTGTTCTTTCAGCGATCATGCTTGTATCAGTCTGTAGCCTTCTCGTGAAGACGATTTCTATAGGTAGCGCCAATGCTGCTTTTTTTTTTTTGGTCAGAGCGCCAATGCTACTTTGAATGTGAAGGAAACGGCTTTACCAGGCTTGAGGGCAGCGCCCGCCTGATGGAGTAGACCTAATGATTAGAAGATACAGATGGGGCATTACAATCCACGTTCTCCAACCTATTGCAACTCGCAAGATGAATATGAAATACTGATATCAGTCGCTTTTTGGTTGCCCTTGGTCTTCATCTTCATTATTCACCCTGGCTTAGTTGAAGCTTACTACTCTTTGTTAAACTAATTTGCTCTTCATATTTTGCGTTAGCAATTCGTATATCAAATTTGCACAGAAGAGCTTGAGTTCGGTAGTTCCCTAATGTGAGAGTGAGAATTAATAGATTGTAAAAGAGGGGACGGGCAGACTACTATATGAATTGCAGAGGAAAATTTGCTGCAGTTGCCTCATCCGATAAAGCTAGAGAATTTGACATTGAATAAGAAATTCACACAGAGACTCAAAACAGATTGCTTATGGAGTAGTGTCCTCATATTTTGTTGTTCGGTTTCAGCTGGATTGATAAATTAGCATGACTGTTTCCCGCCGCAGGTCCGTTCGAGAAGTTCTGGTGGGTATCCATGATATTGCCATTGACGGGTCCTCAATACATGGAGAAGGCCGCTGGGAATTGTGTCAAAGACTGGCATTTTTATGGTGGAACATACACTGATGCCGACGCCACTGCAGTTGAGAAATTTCGAGAGGCTTTCAAGGATCAATCCTTCCGACCCGGTGCCTCGATCCTATACGCACAGACGCCAAATGGGCCATTGACGGTCAGTGAGGCTGTTGAAATCTGACTCAGTTTTATGAATACGGAAGTCTTGAGAGCATCCATTGTTAGCTAAGTAGTAGCTCAGCTAGTCTCTCTTGATTGCTGCCAATTAACGCAAGTAGCTCTTTTGAGGCATAATTCACTTATATGATCAATCTTCTTTAATGCTGCCATTTAATCCTCTGGGTTACAGATTACCTTCTCTGAAGATGGATCTATACCCGAAGCACCGAATGCAGTAATTGAGAACAGACAACTCGGGGGGTTGGTGCTGGGGACGCTGATTGACGAGCAAGGCGTATGTCCTCAAGCTAGGATGAGCATAGCAGCGAGGATTTGTGCACTCCTCAAGGATGGCAAGACGAAGGCACGCCAAGCCGACTAGAAAGTGTCTCCAAATCGCCAGAGCAATTGAAGAGAAAGAAGTGGAAGACAAGGTGGGACTGGGACCTGGTGTTGTATAAGGTGCAGATACAATAGCAGCAGAAAAAAAAAAGCAAGACTGGCTTAAGGTGCTCAAACATGATGCATAATACTTCAAATAATCTGCCCACCTTGGCCAGACATAGCTAATTTCGATTACAACTAATGGATATGTTTATGCTTGGGCCTCGTTTGTGCCTTGGGAGCGAATAATGTACATGTGCACTTACACCTGTTACTAAATGGAACAAGTTCTCCGTGTATTAGGTGAAAGTATCAAAGGGGGAGCGAATCTTGCATGTATGCGGTGCATGTGAGTTTAATACATGTGAATCTTCCAAGTTTGTCCGGACCTTGGCGCCGGACAAACCACCCGGCAATGGCCCAGCCACCGCCGGGCCATGGCCCAATTGCGACAAGGCCTTCGCCAGCTCCGGCCATCTCTTTCTCTTCTCTTCCTTTTTTTTTGGCAAAAAATCACATGCTGAATGAGGAGTGTTTTGACACAAATTTTGCACATCCACTCTTTCCTATATAGTGCACATTCGATCTCCATTATTTTTAGGAATTTATGAAAGAGGGAAGTGATTATTGCATTTAAAGGGACTTTTAGATTTACTAAGAAGGATGTAAAAGATATTTTTTAAGGGTCTTGATATAGGAGATACAGAAAGAAAACACAAAAAACAAATTCGTGCAAAAAAAATTCGTGGGAGAAAGAGGAGAAAAGGAAAGCGTGCTTAGGATAGAGATGGGCATTAGCGATAGGTCTGAATTTTTATTTGAGTTTTGCAACATGCTTAGGACAGAATCTTGATTATTTCCATGCATTTTTAATCATAAAAAACCATATGTAAGATCTTAAAAATCTAAAAATGGCATTTCATTGCATTCCACATCTATGTCATATCACACATGGTTAGAAGTAATGTATAGCATAATTACCCATTTTGCATGCACTTATTTAGGCAGTCGTATAGAATCGGGATTTATAAATAACGGGAAAATTATCCAAAAAATCATAAAGCAACCAATTCAGTCATAAAATCTTTGAATTGTGTCAATTTAGTCCAAAACCTTTTGACAATCTGTCAATTTAGTCCTAAACTTTTCAGTTGTGCCAATTCACTCTTTTTGGCAAATTTTGGCCGGAAATCACTGATGTAGACGCCGGCCATCTTACGCGACATGGCCAACCTTGATGTGGATTTGCAATTATTTTCTTTTTTCCTTTTCTTTTTCTTTTTCTGTGTAGGCCATCCACAGGCGAGGGCCACGCTGCTAGCAATAGGCGAGGGTCGCCCTCACCAGCCACAAGTGAGCTTGGGCGAGGGCGCCATAGCCCTCGCCGGCCACAAAGAAAAATGAAAAGAACGAAAAAAACAAAATAAAAGGAAAAAATTCTAAAATTTCTAAAAAATTAAGAAAAAAAATTACAAAGTGTCCACAACACCGATTTCAAGCCAAAATTGGCAGAAATGACTATATTAGAAAATCGTCAAAATGTTTAGAACTAAATTGTTACAATTCAAGTTGTGATTGGTAAGGTTTAGTAGAACCCGTGTGAAGCATAAGCGCCTTCTCCCACCTAATAATCCATTAAACCCCTTGGGGCTAGCCTCACAAGGGCCGCGACAAAGATCAATTCTTTTGTTTTTTCCGATAAGTCATAATTTTTCCCAAGGATCACAAAGCAGGATTAGCAAACCTGCCTTAAGCTCAGTGCAAAATCAACCAAAGAGACCCAGTCACCGAGGCCCCGGTCACAACACGGAGTTCTATGCCTTCACACAGACACTTTCTTGTGCACATTCAAGCAAGTACCAAGCTTATCTCTAATCAGCCTCTTAATTGGATGAAGGATTGAGCTGGAGCTACTAGCAACAGAGGAATTGTGAAGACAACGAAGACTGGCAGTGCAGTGAGAGAGCTTGAACGACAGATGAGGGAATGCTTTGCCCTTGAAAACCAAACAAGCCCAAGTGACTTGACTTATGCAATCTCCAGGAACTCTGTCAATATACGATGAAGCAGCAAAATGTTCTTTCAAGCTTGAAGAGAAAAAGGGCAATCGAGAAACAGATGGTTCCTTTCTTCAGTGTCAAAGTTACACAGCCAACAAAGAGGTAAAACCTGAATGTTCTAGGCACTTCAACAATCAACAATCCATCTCCTGTGCCCAGTCGATTATGCACAGCCAACCATGCAATAAAGCAATGTTGAGGAATACTAAGGGTTGAACTAGATCAATTTTCTCCGTAGCACCTTCGAGCTTCTCCCTCCAGTCTTAACAAGTTCTAGGCACTAGCAATCGTGAACAAATCAGATGGTGCCAATTGTGAAGCATACTTCTTGAGAAAATTACCAAAAAAAAGAGTCATAAACCTATTATGGATGCCGATTCAGTCTTCAACTTTTCACTTTAATCAATTTAGTCCTAAAGACATTTTCTCAATTTGTCAATGTAATCCTTCCAGTCAACTTTGGCCGACAATTACGTGGCACAACCGACGCTGATGTTGATAATTTTCTCGATTTATTTATTTATTTTTTATTTTTTTCTTTCCTTTTTTTTCTTTTTCCTATTTCCCTTTGTAAGAAAAATCTCAAACAATGCCCATTGTGGCACATTTAACCTAAACTTTTTTTTTGTGACATAAATAACCCCAAACTTATACCTATGCGACACATTTACCCTTCGTCAAGGTTTCCTTAGATAATTTTTAATCAAAACAACCTCGTTTTTATTTCAATTAATCTATGTGGACGTTATGTTAATACTATTTGCTTTATAACGTCCATGTACACAGATTTTTAAAAGTTTTCATTGACAGATCTTTGACGGAGGGTAAATGTGTCTCACAATTACAAAATTTTTATTTTTGATGTCACAGAAAACAGCATATGGTAAATGAGTCACGGTGGGCATAATTTAGGATTTTAGTGGCTTTTACCTTAAGACAAAATTATCCGCAACTTAACTCTTCCATACAGTTAAGCTGTTTTGATAATTAGCATGGCAAACGGTGATGCCGGGTACAAGTGACATGTCGTCTAAGCGAAAATTCGGGTGGCGACGTATACGAAATGCCGTCATTTTGTCATGGATACAAGGTTCAACATGCCGTTCAACTTTGCGGAAAAATTACCAAAAAAGTTCTAAACCTATTGCATTTGTGCCAATTCAGTCATAAACATTTCAATTTGGCCAATTCAAGCCTAAACCTTTGGCATATTGTCTAATTCAATCCTATTGCCCGGAAAAGTCTAACGTGGGATACCTAATCAGCGTCAGCCGTCCTACGTGGACAACCGGGGCTGATGTGATCGCCGGAAAATAAAACATCTAAGCTTAGGTTATGTTTTGAATGTCCATGGTGATTATGTTGATATTAAGTATGGAACAGTTTATTATGGTTCTAGTCATATACTAATGGTTTTATGGTTTTAGACATTGACTATAATGTGTTCAATGTTAATCTTGATGGTTATTTTTCCTTGATTGCATCTTCTAGTAATGGAAAAATTGATGTAAGTATTTGGCATGCTAGATCAGGTCACATTGGGTTACAAAGAATTAGTACCCCAACTAACATATGTATCCCACGTCTTATTCGCAAGCCTATCTCATTAACACTTTACACACACACACATATATGCATCATCGATAGAATAATCGGTCTAGTTTCCAATGTCCAGCTGATGAACGTCTAGTTCATTGTTGTATATCAAAACTATTGCACTGGGTCCATGAGCACCGAACGTATGTATTCTTTCAGCGTAATATGAGGATTGGTGTAATGATCTCCTCCGTCCTTGTACAGCACGTCCATCACTCGTGTGAGGTTGAGAATTCCCATGAGAAGCGGCATCGGGATGGCAGCGGGGCGAAGACACTCCTCATTCATGTCCTTCCACGCGTCATCGACTTTCTTGCGAAGGTCATTTTCCGCTTCTCGTTCCGTGACACCGAATTGCTTCATGTAACATTGCACGGCCGAGTCCGCGTGTTCTCTTCCTTGCTCAAACTGCAAAGATATGTATAACATATAAACGAGATCCGATGTTTCATAGCAGTTGGGTTGGGTCTATATCTTCATTTAACAAGTGCAAGTAAAAAAGGTACCTTATGAGTGGCCAAATCATCCATGAGCCTGCAAATAACTGTTGAAGCCTTCACTATCTTTGGGTTGTTGAACAACCAATCTAAATCGTCTTTTGTTACCATATCTTGCATTCCAACAAAGGTCGTAATCGCTAACAAGGGGTAACCCCTCGATACTACTGCAATGGACATGTACTCATCCATCGTGGGCTTGTGTTGTTGGTGCAGCCAATTTGCTTCAGCAAAGTAGTATCTTGCTTGCCTTTTCATCTGAATATGCAAAGCATTTTATTCCTATCAATCGAGAATAACAACACTATGATTGTAGAATACAGTAGAGGTGGTACGATCTTACTGCTTCTTTCGCATAGTGGAGGCCATACGATCTTCCTTTGCAAGCCAGTATTTCTCCAATTTCAACGTAGACATCGATAAGTGCTTTGTAGAACACTTGCATGTACTCTGGAAGATCATTTATGCAATCAATGTCCCACCTGAAATTATCATATACATTACATGATATTTCAAAAACCTTATATTGCACGAGGATTTGCTAATCACAATATTGTCCGAGAACTATGACAAGGTTAATCTACCAACCCCATCATCTTTCAGTACTAAGAGTTGCCAATTAATACATTTTTCCACATCTTGTATGTCATGCGAATATACATGTAACAAAATCTACTTGAAATAAGACCCATCTACTGTGCCAATCTGACCTTTGAACAGCTTGAGTAAAGAGCTCTAGCTCTTCATAGGTTCCATAGACATACTTAATTATGCCGAAACAAGAAGTCCACGAACCCCAGTCAACCAACTTAATCGGGACAATTGATGATGCTCGCAATTGCATGCGGTGGCTGAAGTGCTTTTCCACAAGCTGAATTAGGTTGACTTGCAAAGACCAGCTGTTGCTGTCTGATTATCAAATTGATTAATATTTGTATTAATTGAATTTAATTACTTACTTAATTGAATCCTTCCTCGCACATACGACAATTATTGAATAGTGACGGTGTAAAATTTATTTTTACACTAAGAATAGATGACCTTATGATATTTCTAGCTACTTTTCCTTATGTTTGCTTGATTTCAACTCGAGCAATTTGTCTCATCAATGAATGAACTTATTCGCATTCGATCATTTTATCGATTAGCACATAGTTATAAGATCATATATCAGTTTAATCACTATTAAAATTTAGAGTCAATACAATTGAAAATCCCAAACTGGTGAATGGCATAGTCACCCCAAATTAATTTTCATCCCATTAAATCCCAAATTGGTGCCCCTAAGACACATTTAAATCAAAGCTAATTTTCATCTCACGGGAATTCCTTATATGATGCCTATGATACATTTATCCCAAACTAATTTTAATCTCACAAAAATGTCCAAACTGGTAACCTTGACTTAAATGCATACGTGTCAATCCGCGTGGATTTCCATATCGGATTTGCCATTCTTCACTTTAGATCCGTCTTGCAGTCGTCTGCCACTTGTGTAGACACGTATACATCTTAAAAGGGAAATTGGACGGAATGATAAAGTAGTTAAATCCGGATCACGGTATCAGTTTAGGTTTTTTTTTTTTGTGAGACTTAAATAAGTTTGAGGTAAATGTTTCGTGAGGTACCAATCTGGGATTTTCTTGTAGAATGAGAATTAATTCTTGAAAAATGTGTCAGGTATTCACCTTTAAATTTAAACATCGACGATACGAGTTCATCAATTCTCTCCTACACGTAATCCTTTTGGTTGATGTTATTATATAACAAAAGTTCACCAATAAAAAACATTAGCTTTAAAGGGTGAAAGTATCTTCTAATAATGTCAGTCTCAGTTGGGCCAAAAAAAGAAGAAGCTTATAATAATATGAGTTTATATTTTCTTGACTTATGTAGTTTAGGGGGAGCTAATGGCAAGATCAAGGGCTTGCGTGGGGCTTGCGTGGCCATGACGTCACGGTGAGACGGACAAAAGGAGAACGACATTCATGATTATCTACGGCAGAAGCAACAAGAGCCCCTGGAAAACTATAGTACGTGACATATGATCTCTCTTCTTTCTTTTTTATTTTTCTTTTTATTTTCTTTTTTTTGTTATTGGACAGCTGAGTTGGAGAAATAGGGCAGCGGAGGGGGGGAGGTGTCATCATTTCATTTTGTCCCTGCTTATGGGTGGCCATTATTACCACTTCATCGGATTATTATTATTATTATTATTATCTCCTTTATTATAATCAGTTTCTCTTTTCTCTTTCTAGGTTTGTTTTTCTTTTGCTTTGGCACGGACATGACCCATCACACCTTTTCTTTTTCCTCCGCTTTTTTTTTAATAAATTTTATATGTGGTTCGATTGGAATAGCTACTGATAGGGATTTTCTCATAAGCATGTTGGTTTATCTCGCAATCTGCTTGAAATAGAAGGGTTGAAAGTGGGGGAAAAAAGTAGAAAGCATGTCGAGATATACGTGTGAGTTGTGTTGGAAAAATCATACGTCGATGAATCGGTATATTGTAGATTAGTTAACATATCTTAGTCGGTCCATTATTTATTGGTTTAAACTCTTGATTAAAAATGGATTCAACTGGATGTGTTGACGGACTTGAATTTATGTGATCAATTGAGCTTTTATTGTACTTCTAAAAAATTGTATTAGAGCCGATGGTTGATTAGGGGTAGTGGTAGGCGTTATGAGAGCTTCGCACATGAGGAAAGATTGTCGCTTAAAATAAAAAACAAAGAACAACCTCCTTCGTCCTGTATATTAGGGTAATCTCAGGAAAATTACCAATCAGTCATAAATATATTGTGCGGATGCCAATTCTGTTAAAACTTTTAATTTTTTCCAAAATAGTCCTCAGCCTTTGCTTGAAATTTCAATATAATCCTTCTGATAAATTTTCGTCGGAAATCGTTGAAGTGTCGGTTTAGTCATCGCTAGTTTTCTTACATGATATATCTACGAAAATTGATCGGAAAGACCATATCAAAACTTCGTACAAAGGTTTGGAAGTAAATAATGAAAATTAAAAAGTTTATAACTGAATTGACATATAATATGTTTAAGACTGATTAGATAATTTTCCTGAGTAATCTCTAACCTGTTTACTAATTTAAAAATTATAAATGCTAAAATATATTTTTGATTGTTCTATAGATCAGCCAACTTGTCCCCCATTTTCACATCACATTACCATAACATTCCCATATATTTTACTTCATGGCTAGTTTGAAGAGATATGGGTCGGAGAAATGATGACTATTTCGACTAATTCTCTGCATCGGAACATGGAACCATCATTCAAAATAAAATGAATATCACTTTCGTGCTCGTAAGAAAAGGAAAGAAAAGAAACAGAATTGATGTGCTACAATTGGGTGAATCAAGATATTCATCATAAATAGATACGTAAAGCTCTCGAATAATCAGAACAAAAATGACTTTATTTGTAATTTTGCATTGATGACATATATTAAAAAAATCGAAATATCATTACGCATAAAAAATATTAAAAGGGGAGAAGTATAAAAAGAGTAAAAAAAGGCAAAGATCAAAATAGAGCTCCACTCACGTGATGACAAGTGGTGCCCATGGAAAGAACCAAATCCACTGTACATACTGTTACGATGTTTAATAAAAGAGAGAGATAATAACATAAATAGTCTCTTAATATTGTTCCTAAATTTTTAATTTATTCAATATGTTATATGAACTGTAGCCTAATGTGCAATGTAGTCCCTAGACTTTTATTGGACTTTTGATACATGTTTAACTTAGTCCCTATAATATATGAAAATGTTCAATATTGTCCCTGAACTTGAATTAATAGAAGGATAATATTAAATATTTTCATATATTTCAGGGACGAAGTTGAATATGTACCAAAAGACGAATGATCACATTAAACAAATTAAAAATTTACAAACCACATTGCACATTGGGTTAAAGTTCAGGAACCACATTGAACAAATTAAAAGTTTAGGGATTATATTACACATCGGGCAAAAATTCATGGACTATTTGTGTCATTATCCCTAAAAGTTATTAATGTGGAAGTCCGAATTCTTAAAAGATTATAAATATAAATAGGAAATGATTAATAAGTTTGCCTAATAATCAGATAAGAAAAATTTGCTGTTCTCAATATATTTTTTTTCTCATTATGCTAATTAAATTTTAATAATGGAAACATTCTTTTATTATGTTTTTTCATGATTTAAATGTTCGATCGTAAATATTCGGCTATATGAAGTTTACGAAAAATACGTTTAATAAATGTTTCACCCTCAATGGGAATATTTCACCTACTGAGCCCAGTCATTTCTCCAAACATAGGTTGACATTTTCATCACACAAGCACTGAATTGTCTGATTTTAGGAGGTGTCCACCAACTGGCAATTCAAAGGAAGTGGGCATCACATCCTGTCCTTTCTAATAAATGCTTACTTTTATATCAAAGTTTTGTTAATTAATATCCTTAAAAAGCATTGATAAGTTTAAAAAACATATCATCGTATCTCATTTTTGTTTCAATTCTACCCCGACGTAAGATGTCGTTCAATTGCCTCTTAATCATCGAGCTATCAACCAACACGGCACTTATCATTTGTAAAATGTTAATGATGCAACTTGTTATCAGAGACGTCGATATTTGTTAGTGAAAAATCATAGGGTCAGAGGCGACGAAGTTTTGATCAGACCATAGAAATTCAAAAACTCCTTCGCTCGAATCGCAAATAGAGTCTTGGGTTTACACTAGGTATTATCCCAACCAAACCTTACATACACATTGGTAGATAGCTTTTCTGTATAACTTAAGGTTTGAAGTATCTAACCGGCCTAGTCATAAACCGAATTAAATAGCGTGTGCAAAATTACTATTTGCCCCTCAAGTTTTCTGTGGATTCTCAATTTGCCCCATGACTTCGAATTTTTTTTCATGTTGCCCCTAATTTCACAAAATCGAATCAACATCACGTGCTATCGCGTGGCCGGTTAAAGTTAACTGTTGAGAGAGAATTTGCCCGATGATTATAAGAGTTAAAATTTTCCTTTCGATTTTTCTTAATGTCTCCCCTCGCCTCCTAACCTGATGTTTTAGTTTTAACAGTATTTCCATAATCTTTTGAACTTTGATGCAATGTGTCCTGGACATATAATTGTTAAAAAAAAATAGATCTTAATAATGGGGGAAAATAGAAAATTGAAAGAGATAAACATGCTGAAAACAGAGTGGGGAAGGGTCAAGGTATGATATTGTGGTGGTAGCTATCAGTGCTGCCGGCCATATGGCGATTGATTTTAGTTGTTCTACATCTGCATCTTCCTCAATTTAAATTAGAAATTTCAAATTATCATAGAAATATTCAAATAATTAGTTATTTTATTAAATGGAAAGTTTGATATAATCGAAAGAATCCAAACTCCAAGTAAATTCTTCTTTTTAAGGAGAAAATTTATGGAAGTATAAATTACGAACGCATGATCCGTCTTTACTCGCTGAGGTGGTGTGACCGAGGCGAAGGTAGATCCGCCTTTGCCTAGGCTACGCCAACTCGACGAGGGCAGATCCACCCTTGCAAAGGTGACATTGAAATGAAATGAAAAAAATGAGGGGCAAATTGAGAATTCCCACAAATTTAGAGGAGCAAATAGTAAATTCCCCATTGCGTAGTAACACTAGATCGACTTAAAGTATCGATTAGTTCGATGACTCCGAACTTCTAATGGGAAGATCTTAAGAACCCATCAGCTT